GTAGCATTAACTTGCTGATACTTCTAATGGTAATAGCTAAGTCCTTTAAATAGTAATGCCTACTTATTTCTTATAGCAACCCTAGGAGGTCAGTGATATACCCATTTTACAAGTGCAGAAAGTGAGGCTTAGAAAGATTAGAGTGAACGCAACATCACACAGCAAATATATTCAGAATCTAGTTCCAATTTGAATTAGAATCTGAATACTAGTGTGTGTGTATGTGTGTGTGTGTGTGTATATATATATATAAATTTGGTGGCTGGAATAAAAGTTATATGTCAACAGCTGAATCAGGATTTCCCAGCTCCCAACTCAGGGAGAAAATAAAATAAATAAAAATAAAATGGAGTAAAAAAAATAAAAAAAATAAAATACTATATATATATATATACATATATATTGTTTTTTCACTTTTTTAAGATAATACATTTGTGTTGCTTTATTTAAAAAAGAAAGAACGGAAAGAAGAAAGATAGAGAGAGAGAGGGAATAGGCCAAAATCGGCATAATTACTGGTAACTTTCGGATAAAATTATCAATGTATGTTCTGATATACAGGTTTTACTGAATATTAATGGTGAGAATACAGAAAAGTTCATTCTTGCCTGAAAAACTGAATGTGTATTTGTGCTAAAATTGACGTTTAAGTAGACTTAAAGCTTGGAATGAGACATGAGTATGCAAACTCGTGCAAACAGGCTTCACTGTATGACTCTTCCCACAGACCACCAGGCTTACTTCGCCCTATGCTGGTCCAACCCGACATGGGCCTCTTTCTTCCTCACACTGTGTTTAAGAAACAGGCACCTGATCGAAGTTAGCCCTGATTATAACTTGGAAGTCAGTAAGAAAGCCCATTACCATCATGTGCTTGGAATATCTGGCGCAAGAGGAAGTTGAGATGACCGTTTTCACCCACTCGTAGTGCCTCATGGAGAACAGAAAGCCCGTCCATTTGGTATCTGAACCAATCAGATTCAAGGTCAGCAGTCAGGTCTCAACATAGCAGTCATTATTAAATGAAAATGGGGCTTGAGATAAATGACCCTTCGCAGCTGAAGAAATATTTAAACCCATAATTTTCAGGTTAAGTCATTCCATTTAACAGACAGAAAGGCTGGAGTGACCCTTGAAGGACTTTTCCTGTCCTATTAGGGAGGGGAGGAATTCAACTGGGCTGCTTGGCTCTCATTAGGCGGTTGGACTTCCCAAGCATTTAGAGTCTTTTTTAAAAAATGCATTCACATCTTTAATAAGGGTAGTAATGTCCCCATCTGTTTGGGATGTGTGTGTGTATATACTTTTCTCATTTCCTTCATTTATGTTAATTGAAGAAATTATAAAACATTCAAGTTCATTTCAAACGTTCTCCTTTAAAATACAACAGTGTTTGCCCTAGCTGGTTTGGCTCAGTGGATAGAGCATTGGCCTGCGGACTGAAAGGTCCCAGGTTCAATTCCGGTCAAGGGCACATGCCTGGGTTGCGGGGTTGATCCCCAGTGCGGGGCGTACAGGAGACAGCTGATCAATGATTCTCTCTAATCATTGATGTTTCTCTCTCTCTCTCTCCCTCTCCTTTCCTCTCTGAAATCAATAAAAAAATAAAATAAAATACAACAGTGCTTGATTTCACATACTTTAATATTTCAATATGACTTTAGATTGGTAAAAGTGCACAGAACACTAACTAGGCACATTAATCTTTGCACATTTTCCCTAACCAAACGACATTAGATAATTATTAATAAAAGAAAATGAAGTTATACTTCTTTTTTTTATTTTATTTTCCCATCACCATTTATCCCCTTTATACCCTCCTATAAAATGGGGGGGAAATAGTAAGAAAAACATTTGTTTTATTATCACTAAAGTAGCAAGAGAGTCTTGTTGTTGCAAAATTTCCATCTCAAATGATTTCGATGGGGCGCTTCTGTAAAGATGAAAACTGTACATATATCGTCAAGTAAGCAAGCTGCCCCAGGCCCTGGGAAAGCAGACATGAAATGGTGGAGATGGCCGAAGGTTGTCACTAGAGACTAGGGATTAGAACCTGGTCAAAGCAGCAAATAAAAAAAAATTTAAAAAGCTCTTAAAAGAACCTGACAAGGGAAGCTTAAATCTTATTTAAAGGGTTGGGTTGTACTAAGCCTTGAAAAATTCAATCCTCCGGAGGACTATATCTCACTAAGAAAGCTCCATGTAAGTTTATCATGTATCCAACACCTAGACATTGGGCCTCGGAGACCACTAGGATAATATTTCCTCTGGATTAGCACTGAAGCTTGGAAGTGACATTTGTAAGAGGCAGGCTTTAAACTCGAGGCCTTTTCCAATTACAAAATGATCATTCTGGAGGGGGAAAGTGCTTACTGCAGAGAGAAGTTGCTGTGATGTATGTCTTGTAGAATCTTCCTTTTGCACACCGAGTTACTTACTAGAATAGGTATGTTTTGCTTTCCCTTTTGTGCTTTAACTAACGTTGTCTTTTGATTGATAATAAGGGCAGGATGTATTTGTTTCAGTGTGTTTTTATTTTTTCAGTTCCGCCATGTCCAAAAGAATGATGGTGCGAATCCTAGTTACAGGTTATATCAGCAATTAAAGTGTGCACATCATGGGAAACATCATGAAATGCCAACACTGCGCCAATATAGCCTCTGGAAGCTTTACCGACAGACCCTTCCCCGCGCCGACTCAATGGACCTCTCTCCAACTGCTCTCTCTGATGAAAGCCAGACAACAATGAGGTGAGACTGAAAAGTTGTCCCTTCTTTACTTTTGGTCCATCTGTCAAGGTCTCTGGATCTCTGTAAAAGTCTCCTATTGTTCCATGTATAAAGGGTACTTTGGATGAATAATATCTAGTGACAGCCAATGTGATAAACTACCTGACTCCCCTGGGTCGTTTTCCTAGGCTGGTTGTCATAGCTCGTTGGCCAGGATGTATGTTTTGAGCAGTTGCAAACATGGACAGGTTTGGGGAAATAATTTAAAATAGTGTATCTCTTTATTTACATTTGTGTACACACATCCAGGGCATCTAGAGAATAAGTAGACAGATTTGCATTTGAAGCCAAAGGAAGTTGGCTAACTTTGGTCTCACTTCAGAACTGCAGGCTGGATACTAATTGACTCATCTATTTTACAAATCTGTGAGACCTGCCGGTAGTGGGACTGAGGAGCAGATCATGGCTGAATCACAGCAAATCCATCACCCCTGGTAGAAAAACAACTCTTAGATTTACTGAGTAGGTCAGTAGAATGAGTGTTACACAGAGAATTCTTCCCTCTCAAAAATAAAATAAATCTTGAAGCCAAATGTCATAAGCCAAATATGAAAAAACAATAATTTTTTTACATTTCCACATATTTTATAGAATAAGGATTAGAAACCTGGCATGAAGAAATTCCTGGCTTCAACTCACATATCCACTCAGTCCTCACCTCACTTTTTCTTTTTCCATCCTTCATTTCCTGTTCCTATCCTCATCTCCTGCACTTTTTTCCTCTGGATTCTAAAAGTTTTTATTGAAACCTGAGAGTCATAGTCAGTTCTGGAGTTGTAGGAAAGTTCTGCATACACTCAGAGCACTTAAACCAAATTTTACAAAAATTTAGGATATACACATTTTTAGAAAACTGAAAATTGGTGGTTCTTAGTTAGGCAACTCTCAAATCACATTTAAAATCAGCATTAATTTAAGTGATAACAGAATTATATAAAATTAATATTAAAAATGGTGATTGAGCCCTGGCCGGTTTGGCTTGATGGATAGAGCGTCGGCCTGCGGACTGAAGGGTCCCAGGTTCAATTCCGGTCAAGGGCATGGACCTTGGTTGTGGGCACATCCCCACTAGGGGGTGTGCAGGAGGCAGCTGATCGATGTTTCTCTCTCATCAATGTTTCTAACTCTCTATCCCTCTCCCTTCCTCTCTGTAAAAAATTAATAAAATATATTTTTTAAAAAATGGTGATTGAAATAAAATTCCAAATCTGAAGAGCCAGCCACATGAGGCAGCTATTAAGAACAAGAGGAGGACAAACAGAACAGAGGGTATGCAGATCAGCTATGACTTTATTGCATTTGAATTTATTGCACATGAATTTATTGCATCTCATCTAATGGCAGTTGGGAGGGGGGAACACACAAAATTTAAAACACAAACAGTTTGGGGGAACCATGGAACATTAGTGGTGGAATAGATCTAATATAGAATGAAAGCTGATACCAAAAACTACACATCCATTTAACAATAGTCTTTTTTTCCTAATTTTTTATTTTTCAACTATAGTTGATATTGAATATTATTTTGTATTTGTTTCAGGTGTGCAACTTAGTGGTTAGACACTCATACCCTACAAAGTGGTTCCCCCAATATTTCAAATACCCATCTGCCACCATGCATACTTATTACAATATTATTGACCATATTCCTTATGCTGTACTTTACATCCAATGACTATTTTGTAACTACCAAGTTGTAGTTCTTAATCCCTTTAATCTTATTTACCCAGCTCCTCAACCCCCCACCATTCTGGCAGTTATCAGTCTGTTCTCTGTCTAAAAAAGTTGTGGTATATATATACAATGGAGTATTATTCAGCCATAAGAAAGAATGAAATTTTAACCATCTGTGACAGCATGGATGGACCTACAGCAGCGATTTTCAACCTGTGGGTCCTGACCCCTTTGGCGGTCAAACGACCCTTTCACAGGGGTCGCCTAAGACCATCCTGCATACCAGATATTTACATGATGATTCATAACAGTAGCAACATTACAGTTATGAAATAGCAACAAAAAGAATTTTATGGTTGGGACACAACATGAGGAACTGTATTTAAAGGGCCAGAAGGTTGAGAACCACTGACCTAGAGGGTATTATGCTAAGTGAAATAAGTCAGACAGAGAATGACAAATACCATATGATTTCACTTATATGTGGAATCTAAGTATCAATATGAATAAACAAAATAGAAACAGGTTCATAGATACAGAGAACACCTACCATGATAGACACCGTACTAGGCACTAGGGGTCAAATAGTGAACAAACCTAATCTCAGTCCCTTACCAACACGAAGCTGACAGTCCAGTTGGGGGAATTAGCAAGCTGACATACTTGGGAAAGCATGCGTCTCTGTGATGAGTGCCAAGGAGAGGCACACATGCCATGAGAGCCCGTCAAAGGTGGATAGGCTCTGCTTAGGGAACACTTTCCTGAGAAAGTCACCCTTGAGCTGAACGAGATTGAGGAATAAGCAGGAGTTAACTAAAGCATAATTAGAAGGGAAGAAAGCTGCTCTCTATTAAAGTAAAATTTTGGCAGTGTTTCTGTTGTGTTGTTTTTCCATTAACATAACTCATCAACTTAATAGCTGTTAGGACTAAGATTAAAGGATATTAGAAGCAGCAGTGTGAATGGGTGATAACCTTTTCTTCTGCCCCCAGCTCAGTTGAGATATAAGTGACCAATAAAAATTGCATATTTTCAAGGTATACAGCATGATGTTTTGATATTTGTATACGTTGTGAAATGTTTAGTCGTTGACGTAGTAATCATCTTACAGTTTCTTTTTTTTTTTTTTTTGAGGGGGTGAGAACAGTTAAGATCTAGTCTCTTCACAAATTTCAAGTATACAATACACTGTTATTAACTATAGTCACCCTGCTATACATTAGTTCTCCAGAATTTATTCATCCTGCCTATCTCACACTTTGAAATGTTGCCTGTTCACTCCTCCATTCAAAGGGGCCTCCTCAAGCTGCTTGCAGGGTTCGGTGTCCAGGCTCTCTCCCACTCTTAGGATGTTGCTTTGATCCTAAAGCTTATTAAGCAATGAAAGAATGAAAGAGCATTCCAAGCAGAGAAAACTGCTTTTGCAAAGGCCCTCTGGTTTAGGCAAGAAGCAATCTGTGCTACGTTTTATAGATTGTGTCGAAGAATTCTGTCTTAATTCTCAAAACATAGGAAGCCATTTAGGGCTTCTGAAGCAGAGGTCAAGAAGGCTGACATCACCAAGCTTGCACTTTGAAAAGATTCTTCTATCTGCAATATGGAAAACAGATGGAAGGATGAAAAGTTTGACTGTGAACATAACCTTTGCCTCAGAGATGTTACTAAAATGAAGGCTTCTGTCACATTATTTGGAAGAAAGATACAATAATCACTTCTCAGTTTATTTATTCAAATGACATTTATTGTGCACCTATGTACTGATCTGGTACTAAGGCTAGATCAGTGACAAAATAAAGTTCTCTGCCCTCCTAGAGCTTACACGATAGACAAAATATAAAAGTAAGTAATATAACTGGGATGATCAAGATAGTCCTCTTTGAGAAGGTGTGTTTTAAGCAAAGACTTGAAAGAAGGAAGGTGTGGCCTTGCAGATGTCTGGGTGAAGAGACTTCCTGGCCAAGGAGCAGTCAGTGCAAAGTCACTCAGGTGGGAGCCTACCTGGCATGTATGTGGGACAGCTGGGAGGTCAGTAATGGTGGTTCAGACCATCATCATCTATGCCCTTTCCATGAAGCTTCCCAGAATTAGGCATCTTTGAAACAAGGCAGGATATGGAACAGACAACACTACTTCAGGTTGTAGCCAAGTATTTAAGACTCTGAGGCAATCTTGGTGTAACTGGTACCCTATGCACAGATATGAGTAGGATGAAAGGTGAAAAGCCTTAGAATCAAGACCCAACATGAAATAGTAAGAACAAAGTCTTGCATTTTCATAGGAAGTGTTCGTTTACAAAATGTGTTTATAGACAGTTCCCAACTTAGGATGGTTCAACGTAAGACTTTTTGACTTTAAGATGGTGCAGAAGTGATATGCATTCAGTAGAAACCATACTTCACATTTTGAATTCTGCTCTTTTTTCAGGCTAGCTGGGAAATCTGGGCAAAGGGGTGAGCTGCAGCTCCCGGGGAGGTACTCCGGAGTGAACAACCGATACTCCACAGTGGACTGTGTTCCCAGTGGTTTTGTATACTGAGCACGTTTAAGGTAGGCTAAGCTAAGCTCTGACATTCTGTATTTTGTATGT